CCAAGCTTGACAGCTCCATCCCAAATCCTCTCCCTTCTGCAAAAGAATGTTCCTCCCAAACCAGGCATCCACCAGCACAGCACACACACAAACCCCTCTGAGGGTCTGGAACATGGCACACACCCGCTGGGGTGGCTGTAGGGTTGCAAACAAGATAGGGAGGCTTTTTTTATTACAGAAAGTCAACAAATGCCTCCAAAACGAGGGTTTTGAGGGCAGTGGCAGCTTACTGCACTCTGCTGGACTCCCGTCATCCCCGTTCTCGGCTCCATGAGGATTTGTGCTTCCTCTAAAAGTGACAGTTGCCTGCAAAGCAATTCAGGAAGTCCCTTCTGTTGGTTTTGTTTCCAGCTTTTTCTCCCCAGCACTGCAGTGGTCAAAAAGGAGAACAGAAAACCAGGAAAAAGCCCCAAAAAATCCCACTGTGCCTCCCAATCCCTCACAACATGCAGCTCCTCACCCTAAGCCACAGCTCCCCCTCAGCTGCTAAACTCAGTTTGGGGTTACTCCCAGGGGAGCACCCCAGCATTGCAGCTCGAGGAGCACAGGCTGAAGGCACCCAGCTGGGGTCCAACACCAGCTCTGCAGAGCAAACGGGGTGTCCGGGGCTCCCGGGAGGCTCCGGGGTTATTCCAATGCTGCTCCCATCACATTGTGAGCTGAGGTTCCAGTGGCCCCCTCGAGCTCTGCCTAAGCCACAGCCGAGACTGGAGATCTCAAAGCCTGCAGGAGAAGAGTCAGAAAGGGAATGGGAGAGAAAAAAAAGATGACTTTGGGCTATCGGTCCACAGGCAGTAATTGTGCCATTTTTAGCCCTGGTGCCAAAGAGCTCAGGAGCACCACACTGGCGTCCTAGGGCAGAGAACTTCATAGACCTGTGTTATCCTCCTGCATCCTAGCTCTTGGGAGTCCACCCACCACCCAGCTCATCCCAGTGCTGCTCTACCTGCTCCAGGATTCTAACTGCCAGAGAGGCCACAGGTCCCACACACAGGCCCCACCACCACTTGCTGCCAGCAGCCAGACCTCCCCACGTCCCCAAATGCAGAGCCCCTTCCCCAGCATGGCCCACTACCCTCAGCTCCCCAAAAAGAGGTACAGGAGAGCCCCCGTCTCTGTTCGTTTTCCCAGCAGGTTTTCCATCTGTGTACCGTAAGATTTAAAGACAATATGAAGAGCTTGTATGCAAATAAGTAGAAAAGTCTGCTTAAGAGTCAGCAATTAGTGCCCCAGTGGTTGAAGCCAAGTGGATAAATCCACTGGGATGAAACAGGAGTGGCTGACAGGATGGTTTATGGCACACTCAGAGCTGCAAAGCTGGAGCCTTCTTTCTTTTCCTGGGCCATCACAGAAGTTCTGCCTCCCTCAAAGTCACAACACAGAGCAGACCCCCCCCCTCCCATTGCTTCTGTAGGAGCACTGCTCCCACCAGCCTACCCAAGGGCAGGAGGGTCCCCTTGCCCAGGGAGCAGGGATCAGGAAGCTCAGGGCTCCCTGCCCTGCTCAGGGCAGGGGCTGGCCAGTGCCACAAAGCAAAAGCAGCCGTCAGGAAGGCTTAAATGCAATCAACACTTGTAAATAAGATTAAGCCACCAGCAAAACCACTTTTGAAATGCAAGAAGCACCCTGAACAAGTTACCTTTAGTCCTTACAAGCCCCTCAAGTTGTCCACTGGATGGTTTTAAATTTAGCAGAAACATTTACCATAATCTAAGGCCTTCAGTCCCCTCCTGATAAGCAACCTAGTGAGTTCTCCTGCCCAAGGGTGCCCAAAAGGAACAGGGAGTGTCTGTTGGGTTACCTGACCCTGGTCTCTCTGCTGGGGCTGCTCTCTGCCTGGCACAGACCTCTTTGTTGCAGCACGACTATGTTTTAGTTACTACTTTAACAGTAAAGCACCAGCTTTTTTTTTTTTTTTGTCATAGTTATCCATAAGAGCTTTCTATTAAAAAAAGATTAAAACAATACCTTTTGCCTCTGAGGGGAGGCAGCAGCAGCAAGCGACCAGCATGTTCCCTCCTCTCTTACTGGCCCAGGGAGTTCCAGGCACCTGCCTGGGCAGGGCTGAGGATGGCATCTGCAAAAGTTTTCATTCCGTTAGTTTAGTGAGGTGACCTGAGCACTAATTACACCTGATGGTGCCCAGCTGCTGAAGGGCCCAGCAGCCGCAGCAGCATTTGCATTTCGTACATCCGCAGTCAGGCTGTCCGGCTGGAAGGGACCGGGGGTGCAAGGCCCGTGTTCGCCTGACCCTGCTGTGATCCACATCCTCACCTGTGCCTTGTTGTGATCCAGATCCAAACACCTGCCCCAGAGGAGCCACTAGGAAGGATGTCCCAGAGCACAGTTTGCAGAGCATGTCACAGGGAGTGTGGGCTGCGCTCCACCCCATCGCCGACACTGCGCTGGCCAGATCCCTGGCGAAAAGACATGTAGCAGCTCACCCAGCAGCACTTGTTTCTCTCCTTCAGGAGAGGAAAAGAAGGCACAGACAGACAAGAGATCACACAACCAGATTATAAAATGAAACACAACTCTTTTATTCCAGCGGGGCCATCCATCCCCGTACGTGGAGTGTGCGTGTCCAGGAGGGGCTGCCCAGAAGGATGAGAGGCAAAGAACTGGGATCCCAGTGCAAACAGTCATTTGTACCACAATCACATTTGGAGAAGAGGCTCAGCCCTGCCGCTCACCCTCGTTGTTGTTGCCGGACACTGGCAGGTCAGGTCTGGAGGGGTTCTGCCCACGTGAACCCACCTGGGCTCCTATTAAGGCTTCACCGGTGAGGTTCGATGCTACCGTTGTCTGTACGTACAGCAGCTCAGCTAAACACTGATAACAAACTCCATAGGCACAATGACTCCACAGAGTACATCACACAGAGAAACAATTCAACATCGAGGCCATTAGCAACCTGGAAAAACACTTCCAAAGGGATGAGCAGCTGTAACAGTATTTATTGCCACGTCGCCACACTCACTGTAAAATAAAACTCTTGATCCCCACCGCTGCAAATGTATTGTGAATGGTAAAATAAATCAGCAGCAAAAACTGTTGGAAGAAACCAGTAGGCACCCAGGGGCCGCAGGTGTCCCTGTCCCCAAGGAGCAGGGGTGTGGAGGGGCTCTACCAGGCAACAGAAATGCCCCAGCACCAGGGCAGAGGTAATTTAAACACAGATATCAAATCCATACTTGGACGCACAGAAGTAGACTCGCTCCTCTGGCTGCCCAGGGAAGAACAGGAGAGACCCCGGGAGCGGGGCTGCAAACAGCTGCCCTCCCCAAGCCTGCAACCCTTAAAAAATACATACAGGTATCTATTATTGCCAACAGGGAGTTTTGATACCCACTCCCCTTGCACCATAAGATGAGTGAATTTGCAGAGCTTGGTCTTGCTCTTTTGTTGTGGAAGGGAGGAGCTGGTTTGTAGGAGAAGGGGAAGGGGCAGACCTGGATATCCGGTGTCTGAGGTAAGGTTGGAGGAAAAAGTGCAGCAAGAAGGAGATGCAAGAAAAACAAACAAAACTGCTTGGCTCTGAGCATCTCTCATATGAAAATGATTGTCAAAGAAGTCACTAGTGAAAACAAGGTAAAAAAATACGTTCGCTGTAGAGGTACCTTTCTGCATCTTTCAGCATCAGAACACTAACCCGAGGTCCATGCAGTGTTTTCAGTTCACCACAGGAATACTCTTAGGAAAGCCCGAGTTGTGTCAGCCCAACACACACCTCCGGGGATGCCGCCCGGCTCGGGTGGTGAAGAGAAGACCTGGAGATCTCCCGTGTCCATCTGGGGAGGGGGATGCAGGTCTCCCGTGGGGTCAGCCCCGAAAGCTGCTCGGTCTCTCCGGCGCCGGCATCCCCACTGTGGCACTACCCAAAGCGGAACTTCAGCCGGTACTTGACGGGGCCGGGGTTCTTCCGAGGCGGGGATGGGGGGAGCTTTGGCTTCGGCGGCGGGGGCTTCTTCTCAGGGAGGGCGACGGTGAAGGTGAGCTCAGGGGGCTGCGGCTGCCAGAAGCGGGGCAGGAAGTGCGTGGAGACGTGCTGGGGCCGGGCACGGGGGCTGCAGCCCCGCTTGGCTTTGCCCCGCTTGTTGAGGGCCACGTACCACTGGCGCCCCGAGCGCGGGCTGCGGTGCACGGCCGAGGCGTAGGTGTTGTAGCTGTTCTCCTGGAAGCGCTCTCGGAAATGGCAGTCTGCTGTGAACCGGGCCTGTGGGGACAGCGGGGACACCGTTAGCCAAGGGCTGCTGTTCCCTGTCCCTGTCCCTCACCCCCACCCCCTGACGCTTGCTGGGTTTGTCTGTCTCCCAAAAGCAGGTCCAAAGGGGTGGGTGGAAACACAGGACACCCGTTGCAAGGGCGCAAGGCACCCGGCCTTTTGGAAAACCCCCAACACAGATAATTCAGTAGCTGCTTGCCACCCAGTTTGGGGCTTCCTTAGAAATAAAAGGCTTGGGCTGCCCCAGCAGTGCCCTTCCCTTCCGTCCTGTCCTGCCCCAGCAGCACCCTTCCCTCCCAAAAAAGCATTCCAAAACGCAGGACCAGAGCCTAACACTCCAACTGTGCACCCACTGCCCTAGGACCCCTGGCTGCAGCTTCCAGCAGACCCTCCAAAGCCCACTGCCACACTTTAACCTGATGGTGGGCATGGCACCCGGAGCCCCATGAGCGTCCCTAGCCCAATTCCACAGCAATGCCTCCAAGCCACTGGGATGGCATTGCTGAGCTCCTTGGCTCTGAAACCAGCGATGGAGTACAAGACCAAACCCCTTGCAGCACTTTGTAACCACGCAGAAGGTGTTTTAAACTCCTAATTGAGCAGAGAAATTGAGCCTTAGAGCACAAGTGACACAGCCGTCAGCCTGCCGTGAACATTTAGCCTCCTAGCACTTGGAATTAAGTCTTAAGCTCATTGCTTCCGAGAGATGTCACCTCATGACTCATTTTCACTCTCCCTGTCTTTCATACACCCTTCACTCTGCATCCCCCATGCACAAACATTGACCTTCCCCAGCAAGGCTTTGCTGACCTCAGGTTCGCCCTGAAGCCCCTGTGCTCAGACAGGACACCCCATGTGCAGAAGGAAGCCCTCGCTCTGGACTGGGAAGTGCATCAGCTGCTGCTCCACCATGACCTTGTCAGGCTTCCCCACATATTGGCCTCTCAGCTCATCCCCTCACCGTTCCAGCCAGGAAAAGCCATTTTTCCCCAGCACAAGGTGGGTGGTGCAGACACGACACATGGCTGGCATCAGATTTGCTCTGCAGACCTCCAGAGACAATCACAAAGAGCAATCTTGAAGTCAATTAAATTTCAAAATCCCATTGAGCAGAGATTTGCCCCAGCGAGGATCGCAGCATTGTGACAATTCCTGGGAAGGGAGAATTACCTGGGCAAAGCTGTCCCCTGGGGTCCATGCTGGCCCCTGCCGAGACGGGCACAAAACCCCTCCCACCCCCTCCGTGCTAAAAATGGACAAATGGGAGCAAGGATTTATCAACGAGGAAAAAGCCATCTGTGCACAAAACTGATAATTGCCAGGATTACTGTCATTTTCTGAAGCTGATGCCTCTAAAAATGAACTGCTTGGTAATTTAATTAAGTTGCCATGAAAAAAAAAGAAAAAGGAGGAGGGCATCTGTAAAGCACCAGGCTGGGATGGAGCTGGGCCCAAGAGCGGGTTTCCAAGAAGCCCAAATTCCTGCAGGAATGACTTTTGTCTGTGGTTCAGTGTAAAGTCCCCGGCCTGACTCCCATATCAAAGCACTGCCCTGAGTGACGGGCGCAGGATGCGCTTTGTACTGCTCAGAACTCATTAGGCCATGAAATAACTTCATCCTGCCAGGACAGGAAAGAACAACAGATGCCGGGTTTGCATTATAGGCGTTGTTTAGTCCAGCCATCTTCAGACATTTGGGTCAAGTTTCTACAAATTCACAGCTTTCATCGAGCAGGGCATCGTGTATCCTCACCCCCACCCTGACCCGCCTGACTGATGTCTCTCTCCGGTCCTGCCCTTTGTGTGTCCGCAATTGACCACGCACCAACGAGGTTTGATTTAATTTCTGCCTGCACCAGGGCATAAATCAAGGCTTCAGTTTGGATAAGGGGCCCATTGTAAGCCCAGAGGGAAGGCTCTGGAGGGTCCAGGGGTCCCACTCCACCTGCTTCTCCTTTCCATCCTTCACCTCTCCTCTTCCTCTATCCCCCTTTCCTGCCCCATTGCCTCATCTCAGGTTTTCCTCCACCCCTTTTCCCCTAGACACTGTTCTTGCTCCTGTTTTATTTCCTAAAATAAGCAACCATGTTCTCAACCCTTTAAGCATCATTAGGTTTCAGGAGCAACACTCCAGTAATACTCAAGGGAGACAGAGGAGTTCATAAATCTCCCTGGGAGTGATCTGTGGGCTCAGGCAGCACAAGCACATCGGTGACATCCACTTCATGATCAGGAGGTTTGACTCAGAACCATGGGGTGGGCAACTGGCTTTTCCCTCTCCCCATCTGTCAGCCTTGACCAGACTCCCCGGGAACCACCCTGGGGGTCAACATGCTGCCTTAAAAGCACCCTTCTTGGGGTGGTGAATGTACACACACCTTTAAAAGGCAGTGACTTTCATGTAAGCAGAGGAATTAATTTCATTTGTTTAAGCCATCTCTGGAACTAACAACAAGAAACTGGGAAGCAACATCCTGAGGTTGCAACAAACAGTAAGATCAGCTTATGGACTCATGCAATGCAAAAAGCTTGGGAAAAGGACAATGAGATCTGCAGGAAACCCCAGGAAACAGCCTGCAGAGACAAGTTATGGGATTTTCCCACTCTAGCTGTAAGACACCTGCACAAGCTGGACCTCACCTGCCTGAGCTCTTGCTGGGGTTATCTGTCCCCAGGGGCAAAGCCAGCCCGAGCCGTGGGGCTGCCGGCGCCGCTCGTGCTGCTCTCCGGGAGACATTTGGCTAAAGCCGTCTGCGCGATCTGCTGCAGAAGCGGCTAAAAATAACCCAGCCGTGCTCAAAGAACAGGCACCGCTGATGCAAAT